CAATTCCTGCTGGCACAAGATTTATCCCATACCCTGACATGCCTCCATTTAAATCTGTAAAATAGATGTAAATGTGTCCAGCGTGTGAGATTCTCCTCAGATTGTCCTCTCTGTGGGATCAGAAATGTTTTTTAGATGCAGGAAAATTATACAATAAATGGAGAATGAGTGAGAAAACTGTCTAAATATGAAGTGGGGTGTAAAAATGTGTTTGCCACACTCAAATGTGTGTGTGTTGGTGTGTGCGCATTTGTGAAGCTGCTGTCTTCAGCGGCGCATGAGACAGAGATATTTCCAACTTTACACGTCTTTAATAAATGACTGTAAACAAAGAGGAACTGATGAGTTTGGTAGAACTTAGAGAAATATTTATGAAATAGTTGATGTGAAGAAACGAGTCGCAGCGTTTCTGCTGCGGTGTGATTTATATTTTAGAATCATGAAGTCTCTCATTCAGCTGCATGACTCTGCTCAGAACTACAGTCAAATACCTGATTATAATTTGTTCGGTAAACGTACTGTAAACTTTACAGTTTACAGACTAGACTGAGGTTCTTTTGATCATTTTTATACTGATCTATTTTCTTTTCTGAGATTAAATGGTTTTCAGTCCCGGGGTTCAGTTTCATGATTGTTCAGTTTAAACAATAAAAACTCAAACGAAAACAATCTAACGGCATGTTCAGACGCTCCTTACATCCAGAAAACAGAACCGAGTCATATTTCTGTGGATTCAGGTCAGATTCGTGACTTTGTGAGTTAAAACTTTCGACTGAAAAACTTTGTGTGGCTGACGCACATTCTCACTGCAGGTGAAAAGTGTGCGCATATTTATGCAGACTTTCACACAATGTTGGTTTTGAACATCTGGGCTTTGGTCTCATCTTTCTATAGGATTTTGTCCCAGAAAACAAACCAAAATCCTGCTGCCATGTTCTTTTTACAGGGAACTGCAAAACTAACTTATATCACCAAAACTCAGTACATGATGGTCCTCATACTGTTGGAAAATGACCTTTAACACATGTCAGTGGCTTCTCTAAAGTCATTTCTGATAGTTTTCCTTCTTTGCGTTTTGTTCACACCTGTATGTTTCAGAGCAGCAAAAAAAACAAAGGATTTTTAAAAAAACATCAATAAAACTGAAATATTTCATGTGCTGTTAATTTGAGGTTARTTACACCTCATTTTAAAATCGATCTTACAGTCTTAGAACTGAAAAGTGTTTTTACAGTTTCTCAGGTCCATATTTTATTTAATAGTTATGTGTGGACTGAGAAAAACACAAACAACATTTGAAAAATAACTTTTTATCAGTGTGTGTTTAGAAATGTTAAAAATGATTAAGGTAAGGAAAGACTTGCAGACACTGAAGTTTAGTATGTCATTAATAATTTTTCTGTTTATTTAGTAACAAGAAACAAATTGTGCCTGGATGTAAAATTTAGTGTGTGAGTATCAGCAGGTATTCCCTACTATGCAAGGACGATTTTTGGCACACACCCTTACTTGTGGGGACCAAATGGTACTTATGGGGAGTTAAGCCTAATCCCCATGGGGGGAAATACTGTTGGTGGGTCAGTGGTTAGATTTAGGGTCAGGTATGTACCTGTGAGGTTAGGTTAGGGTTAGTATTCCTTTCTGGTTTGTATATACACTGCCCGGTTAAAAACAAAGTGTCCACCTGGATCTAACTAAGATCTGTGATGTGGGGTTGCTGCAGGTGGTCAGGTCTAGGCTCAGATACAGTCTGTGCTCAAATGACCTGGTTATTCCATCAATGCACTGCAAAAACTGTCCAGCTTACCAAGTTTTAAAATCTTAAATCCAGCCAAAAAATCTTTTGATCTTGTTTTGAGACTGATTTACTA